ACAAAAACAACCTGTGTCATCTCTAACACAGAAAAGGAGAGGAGGAAAACACGGTCCTGTGTGTCCTCCAGGTACAGAACGTCACGTAATAAAGCACTGCACGGCCTCATGTGCTTAACCTAATGTTGACGCCGTAGCACAAATAAACAGTGTCCAATAAAGAGTGATGAGTCACCGAGCTGCACTTGGATTGGTCCCTTCCAATTGCGTGGATGTGAAGTGACTTCAGCTGATTAGTTGTGATTGGAAGGGAGGAAGAGAGAAGGGGGGAGACAACGAAGAGACATAGAGGAGGGCAACATGAAGGGAGAAACGGGGAAGGAGCCGAGGCTGTTAGGAAGAGTTTGTTTACATCCTTCATGTGTCGAGGCCTTGTATTTCACACTTGGCACCCAGCCCACTTGTCACACTTCTCGCGGTATAGCTGCGCTGTGATTACACGCCTGCTAGTGCTGCCCTCTCCTTGGCCCCAGCTCGCTCCCGTGGCGACGTCCCTGTTCTGCTCAACACTAATTAGGAGATGCATGTCTCATTAACATTCAATTTGAGGGCCAATAGAGCATCCTAGCGTCCTCTCGCTACTTTCCTCCGTCTCTGCTGCCGCTGTTACTCACATGCCACAGTCGCAGCGGGAAGGGAAGAAATGTAGGTGTCTTTAATTACCTTAGGTGTGTATGGCTGCGGTGACCTATTTGATTTTTTCCACGAGATCTAGGTGTAATACCTGAAAGTACGAAATGCGATGAATCTAGATTAATGTTTCTCAAAGAGTGGTTCATGTCCCCAAACCTGCCCCCTCTTTTTAAGTTGTTTGGGTTCTACTTCTTTACTTACTCTTATCCCTGTGAGTTTTTCAGCGGTTCACATTTTTGAGCACTTTTTGCTGCGTTTCTCTGCATAATTTTAAATCTTGAAAATGTTAAAAAACGTATTTACCTTCGCAAATAACATAATTTTCTCTAACTATATGTTTTATAGTTACAAAAATCTAAATACTCTGAAGGCATTTAAAATAATTGGAGTTACTACTGTATCAAAAGTAAAATGGATAGATTTGAAAATCAGACAGTCACAGACAGAGTCTTTTGTCATGTGGGGAACAACTTTTAAAGATCTATAATATTTCCTACATTTGTCCTTCAGAGGCCTTTAGAGAAACATACAACTCACATTTATACCAATGCATAAAACATGATATGCATTCACACATATCCATAAGACATGAGGAGCAGATACAGATGGTGTTGCCTCAGTACAGTTGTCTGAAATATGTCTTGATTTCACGCTCAGCCAAGCAGACTGTCTGATGCCATTAACCACTTGCTTTTGTCCTTCTTATCGTTCGGCGTTCCTCTCTCACCGTATCTCTCCCTCGTTCTCTCCTCCATCCTGCGTCTTCCCCTTCCCATTCATCCAGAGGGAAGCAGGCCCGAGAAGAGAGAGATCAAGTGTCCCACTCCAGGGTGTGATGGGACAGGTCACGTGACCGGCCTTTACCCCCACCACCGCAGCCTGTCAGGCTGTCCGCACAAGGACAGGATCCCCCCGGAGAGTGAGTCTTTTTCAGATGTTGCAAAGATGGAAAATAAGCAGCGAGCATCAGAAGGAAAATGACAACAAAGGGCGGTCTGACATTGACGTCAACCGCAGAGTTTGACTCAGATAAATACGATAATGCTAGTTTACTTTTTCATTTCATGAGATGCTGCTGCTGCTGCTGCTGCTGCTGCTGCTGCTGCTGCTGCTGCTGCTGCTGCTGCTGCTGCTGCTGCTGCTGCTGCTGCTGCTGCTGCTGCTGCTGCTGCTGCTGCTGCTGCTGCTGCTGCTGCTGCTGCTGCTGCTGCTGCTGCTGCTGCTGCTGCTGCTGCTGCTGCTGCTGCTGCTGCTGCTGCTGCTGCTGCTGCTGCTGCTGCTGCTGCTGCTGCTGCTGCTGCTGCTGCTGCTGCTGCTGCTGCTGCTGCTGCTGCTGCTGCTGCTGCTGCTGCTGCTGCTGCTGCTGCTGCTGCTGCTGCTGCTGTGACCCAGCTTAACTCAGTCAAGGTCACCTTAACTTCCAATTTAATGTTCCATCACTGATCCTAGGTCATTCTTGTGTTCACAAGGCACAAAAAAGGTGATTTTGTAGATGATAAGGTCTATAGCTGTATGGGAATCATCTTTTTAGTATTAAATCAAAAGAATCTGTCCTTGTTAAATATCTTTAAAATCAATTTCCTTTTTATTTTTGACAGTACATGAGATGCAAAAGCAAAGGTTTCTAACAGCTGTTTATAATTATGATTATTTGATCTTTTTCTTCCCAGTTCTGGCCATGCATGAGAATGTGCTGAAGTGCCCGACTCCTGGCTGCACTGGTCAGGGCCATGTTAACAGCAACCGTAACACACACCGCAGGTATCTAAACGTCCCACTTTAGCAACATTAATGCAGTATTTCTGCACAGGAGAATGCTTTTTGCTGCACATTTCTTTTGACCCTTGGTGTATATGCCACATCACACAGCATATCCATGTGTGCAGAATAGAAAATCTGCACTCCTCTAAGTATTTTCTTTCCCCCTTTCCATCCATCTAGTCTCTCCGGATGCCCCATCGCTGCTGCAGAAAAGCTGTCGAAGAGCCACGATAAGCAGCTCCTCTGTCAACCAGGCACCGAGCACCTGAAAGGAAGTCCCAATGACAGAGTCTTGAGGTGGGACAGCACAAAAATACAAGTTAAAATATGTTCACTAAAAGAAACAGGCGAACCTTTCATTCACATGAACCACTTCTGCTCGATGGGGAGCTCCATACAGCCAGGTAGAAACAGCAGAGCGATGCCTGACATTGGTTATTGTGTCACCTGTGACCGTCTCCAATGTAACAGGAACATCGTGAAGCATCCAGAGGAAAAGGTCCGATCCTCACTGTCGCCGCACCAACACGGAGATCTCGTTATTTCCATTCATCTTAACAATGGACCTGAGCACCGCGATCACAGTCGAAAGAATGATAATGAACACACAATCCAAACACTGGTATTATTCTGAGTCCACTCTCTTCGTCGTTGGTATTTTAATTAGTAATTCAGCCGATAAGCTAATTATGCAAGTTAAAGCGGCAGCGCAGGAGAACAGGAAAAATAATTGCGTTTCTTGAAGAAAAACCTCATCATTGGTCTGACAACGCACTGAGGATTAAAACATAATGAGAGCTGCTTTGTTTTCCCCACATTGTTATTAAAATAGGCTCTCGCATCTGTGATGTATGGGACTGGAAAATTCTGTATGTAATCCATATTCTAATGGAATCCATTGTAAATTAATCAAACAAAAGCCTGAGGGGCGGGGGTTCGTGTGGGGGGGAGGGTGGGGTTCCTCATCCGCAGTACAACATTTTGTCACCGAGATGAAAAAAATCCTCCTTTACACTGTTGTGAAGGTGTGTTATCACTGGACCCATGTGATGCTGTGTGACTACAGGTCAGGTCATGTAGTGTATTAATGAGCATATGGTTGAAATGGGACTCTGTGATACAAGCTTGAGCGATACAGGATGTAAATGAGGAAGGGGTTAAAGATCATGACCGGAGAGGACGGTGAAAACTGGCAGGATAGCGCTCCTCGGCTGAATTAAAAAAACACTCCTGTGAAACGCTGAAACATAAGCCAGCTGATGGATGGACTGTGATGTCTAAACATGCGGATTTGTAAACTTCCCAAATATCAGAAACTGTGATAAATAGCATAATGGCATGCTAAAAGTCTGGTCTTCAACGCTACTACATTTTTAGCATTCCCACCAAATTTGACAGACGTGTGTCTCGGCCAAGGAGACATCATGATGTGGAATTCAAAACAGGGAAGGGTTAAAGTTCTGTGTTCTGAGCTGAAGATGAGAGGTGGAGGTGACTCAACTTCTCACCATCTTTTGCCTTGACTCTCCTTCCTCCTCACTTTCCTCTCTGCTCTGAGCACATAAGCCCACACACAAACACACACACACACACACTCACACACAGCCTTGTGCATCTCTCTGGTCTATCAGTGGATTTATGCCAACAGGTTTGACAAAAGCCCAGGCTCTCCAGGAAAACGAGAGGGGCTTAGAGCTCATAAATTCCTTGCTGTACAACATGCAAATGTGCCCTCTGCTGATAAGAGAGCTTTTAATCCGGCTGCTCTCCTGCTAAGTACACCATTGCCTCTATCTTTACTCGCTCTGTCACTCGTCCTCCCTCTCATTCTCTTGTTCTCTGTCCCTACCTTCTCCATTTTTGGGTTTGATTGTGCGTCTCTTTATTGCATCCGCCCTCTTTTATTTCCCCATCCTTCATTGTCTATTCCTTTTTATTGTTTTCTTCTCTGCTTTCTCTCCTTTAATTTCCTTCTCTCACTGTCTTCTGTGGCTTATTTGTTTCTCCACCTACGCAAATGATGAACTCTATTTTGTTCGTTCTCTTTTTTGCCCCAGGCCCATGTGTTTTGTGAAGCAGCTAGAGGTGCCCCAGTACGGCAGCTACAGGCCCAACATGGCACCTGCCACACCTCGTGCCCACCCGGCCAAGGAGCTGGAGAAGTACTCGAAGGTCAACTTCGATTATGCAAGCTTTGATGCTCAAGTGTTCGGGAGGCGCATGCTTGCTCCAAAGATTCCCACCAGCGAAACCTCACCCAAAGCCTTCAAAAGTAAGAAGAAAAAAGATTGTTTTGATGGCCCCAGTACGGGCACCACCAGCCCCACCAGGGCACCTGCCACACCTCGTGCCAACCTGGCCAAGGAGCTGGAGAAGTACTCGAAGGTCAACTTCGATTATGCAAGCTTTGATGCTCAAGTGTTCGGGAGGCGCATGCTTGCTCCAAAGATTCCCACCAGCGAAACCTCACCCAAAGCCTTCAAAAGTAAGAAGAAAAAAGATTGTTTTGATGCTTTTCATTTTTGGTTTTCAAAGATCTAAAATGAATTTTAAATCTTCCTGCAGCTAAGCCCTCATTTCCCAAGTCCCCATCGCCCAACCTGAGTCTCCATGCTTATGGAAAGAGCTCCACCTTAGCCTACGACTACTCCCATGATGCCGAGGCAGCTCACATGGCTGCCACCGCCATCCTCAACCTGTCCACGAGGTGCTGGGAGAAACCTGAGAACCTGAGCACCAAACCCCAAAACAAGGTGAGCAGAGTTAGCTTGAGAGAGAGATTTGTTAGGTGTTGTAATGAAATGCTGACAGAGCAGGAAATAAATCATTCTCTCAGTTCATCAGGTCTGCGATAATGGTTTCATTTCTTATAAATTTGTCTGTCGTCCGTCTGATACTAGTCTCTTTTTTAAATTGTTTTTTTTGGGAGGCTATATAGTTTCTGACAAACTTTTCATTTGCCTGTTGTTATTTGTTATTCTTATTTTTCGCTACTTAAAAGTTGTTGTTTTTTTCACTGACCTGTATTGTTCCAGCTAACTTTTAGCTTCTAGCTGTTTTGAGGTTGGTGATTATTGTACAACTTTAAGTCTTTGTTTAACACTCCCCGTCTGTGTCACTGCATTTAAACACCAACGAAATCGTCCCGTCACAGACTTGTTTGTTTTGCTACGCATCACCAAAAACCCATGCATCTTTTCGAGCTTTGAAAATAAAACAGTGAAATTCCAGATTTTCTGCATCTGTCAAAACGCTTTTCCTCCTCTCTTCTTTTACTTTTTTTATTTTTTTGCCCGTTTCTTTCTCCATCATCTCTGCTTGAATTTATCATCAGGAGGCTTCGGCTCACGGCAACAGGAAGTGTTGAGATGCGGTTGCATCACCCCTCCTGTCCTCTTTCATTCTCTCATCCCTTCATCCCACACACTTTTTGTGTTCTTATTGAATTTGGCCAACTGCCAGTTTCCTGGATTGCTCCTCCATCAGGTAGCCTTTTTTCATTATCTGCTGGACGGATCTCTCAACCCTTTCTTTCATTTTCTATTCACATCTCTTTATTCTTTCTTTTATCTTCCTCTCTTCCCGTGCCTCCGCTCCTCCAGCCTCCTCTATCACTCCATCACTGCTCCTCTCTGTGCACAGGAGGTGTAATTGGAGCACCACTTTCCCCCATATTGTGATTTTTAAAAGCCTTTTTGCCTCACAGAGGAGAGAAAGTGACTGCTTCATCATTTTTTCGATTTCCTGACACGGTTTTAGGAAGATAAAAATTGAAGATTAAAGTCTTTGGCAGAAGAGTAAAGTATTAGGTTTTATTCAGTGAGGCGCTGATCCAAGACCAGGCATTAGCTGCAACCTATTACAACACAGAACAAACCGCAGCTGATCTGGAATCAGAACGATAGCCAGCTGAGATCCAATATTAAAACACTGAACTCATCATCCAGGGACATTTCTGGGAACAGTTCCCATCTCCTCCTCCTCCTCCTCCCCTCTTCCTAACCCTTTGATTTTTCTGGACCTTGACCAGCCCGCGTGAGCGCCATTTTATAGTAACACCGAAAACTCGGCTCATTCCACACCTCGCTTTGCTGTTTATCTGTCAGCATGGTCACGGAGCATGGAGGGATGATGTTGGCAAAGTTCTACCAGAGTACATCAGATGTCATTATTGACAGGCTGGAGTGTTAACGCTGATGTGTTTTAACACTCACTGAAACCTGCCTGTGTCTGTTCACAGACTTAGTGAGTGGATTTATAACTGAGAGAAATCAATATATGCATCATACAGTTGAATTAATATGTATTTAATTCATGCCAGAGGAATTAATACATAAATATGCAAAATAAAAAGGCATTTTAATTTTTGTGCGGAAGTGTGGAAAAATATGTATCGATGGGATATAACATATGCTACGTGGTTGCCCTTTATAATCAACTTTAAAATATTTTTTCATTTCTGAAGTTAACCTTGTGGTTTTTTTTCTTTCTCTCCAGGAAATGGACATTGAGGTGGATGAAAATGGAACCCTGGACCTTAGCATGAAGAAATCGTTTAAAAGAGAGGGAAGTCTGTCCGCCACCAGTCCTGGCGTTAGGTCCCCGGATCCTTCTTCCTCTTCGTCATCCTCTCTGCATCACGGCGGTAACAGCGGGATGACATCACCAAACGTTCACGCCTACAAGCAGGAAGACTGGGAGGGACCTCTGGACTACACTAAACCCAACCGCCAAAGGGAAGAGGAAGTGGACGAGGTCAGTGGAACATTAGTTGGTACCAAACACTGGGTTTCCAGGAAAAGCAGCCACATTTCAACACAAATAAGAAAGAAAATATCCCTAAGCATTTGAATACAAATTCTTCACTTGTTTCCATCTTTTTGCCTTTGTCTCGTAGACTTCCTGTGTTTCCTCTCTCCTTGCTTCCTTTTTTTAACTTTTATTTATTTATTTATTTTATTTTCTACTTTCATGTGTGGTGAAAACATTGCAGTGTGAAACAGAGGTGGTGTGTCAGGTGCATTGCACCATCCTGGCTTAGGCATATGCTAATTTTAAATCCTTTGAACTTTTTTTCAAAAGAAATATAAAGGCCTTGATTTTGAATTTTTTATGAGGCCATTCTCCATTTGGAAACACGACATGTCTACATAAGAATGGAAAGTTTCAGATGATCAAAGACTTGTGGGCTGGTAATAGCAAATTTACAAGCTTACAAGTAAAAAATAATTTAAAAAAAAGTTTACTATTTATGTTGTAAATGTAGAAAACAATGGAGTCTCATCACATCGTTTACATGTAGGACATGAAAGTGAAGAAGCAATAGAAAAAGTGGACATAATATTTAAATATGTTTCACCTTTCTTAGATGGACCACATGGGCCAGTCCTATGTCTCCTCTAATCCAGAAGACTGTGACATGATGCAGGATTGTCTGGAAGACAGGAAATACCCGGGCGAGGTCACCACCCCAAACTTCAAGATCAAGTTCCAACCCAAGGACGCAAAGAAGGACCTACTGGCGTAAGTGATGAGAGCTGACAAAAATCTGCAGCCACGCCTGTCATGGCGCTAAAAACACTGGGTTGTGTGAAGCATAATTAAATTAATTTGGCAAGTAATTGAACTCAGCCTTATCCACTTACCACTTACTACACCTTTCTTAAGGCAGGGAATGCAGCATTAGCTATCAAACATTAACCATGGGATTAAACAGCGCCATCTTCTTCCCGTGAATACATTAATACATTACTGTTAATACATAAATACACTGTTGGTTTTCACTTGCTAACAATGGTCAGCATCAGTTAGTTGCTAACATTCAACAGTCTATGCTAAAATTAACACCCAAGCTACAAAGGCTAGCTTGTAGTTTGTGGTTTAGACACTGCCTGCTAACATGCTAACATGTAAATTGCTGGAAATCCAAAGTGACTGACAATGAATTGTTCCAGCTCTGCTTTATTATACAGTACATAATGGTTGATAACAGATGGAACATAGAGTTATATAAAACGGATTTTGTTAGTAGTGTTACTGTAGTAGTGTTAGTGTTACTGGTATTAAATAGTTTTAATACCAGTAGCAACAATCATTTCTTAGGCTTATGTGAAAAAAACCCAAAGGTAAGTTAATGCCATAACACTTTTCTGTTTCGTCTTTCTCAGGTGCCCTACACCTGGTTGTGACGGCAGCGGCCACATCACTGGAAACTACGCGTCCCATCGCAGGTACGCACCGCCGCAGACTCATTTTGGTGACACAGTGTGTTAGTGCTCTATATTTAAACTCTAATGTGAAGCGTTAGCTGTACTGAGACTCCTCTGCTCCTGCTCTCTCCACACCTGAACCCAAAGCGGTTGCACCGCAACTAATTCAAATATCTTATTTGATCCGGACATGCCAGAGGCAGTAATGTGGCGTGAGCCCAGGAAGCAGAGGCATTCTAATTTACTTCTTTCTCAATGTCCTTTTTTTCTTCCTCAATGACCTTGGTATGCCTTGCATTCTTGATTTCTCCTTACTTATGCCTCTTTTCCCCTCCGCTCTCTCTCTGTCTCTCTCTCTTCCATCCGTCGACCTGTCCTCTGCCCTCCCTTCAGTCTGTCTGGGTGTCCTCTCGCTGATAAGAGCCTTCGGTCCCTCATGGCGGCCAACACCCCTGAACTCAAGTATGTTTGCTCCCACACCTCCACTGCCTGTTTCACTGCCACTTCACTGCACTGCTACTGACACCGTCCACCACCACAGCGCTTTAATCTGCTGATGTTGACTTATCTTTTGTTGCTTGCCGCCACCGCCGTCGCTGCTGCTGCTGCTGCCTTGCTGCATCTGTCATGGTGTGTGTTATTTTCTGCAGTGAGCTTGAACTGTGCTCGCTTTCACTTCAATCAGCTCATGTAAATGTGAGGTGAAATTGCACTTCTGCTGCAAACGCAGCTTCCTACTGGAACTAGGCCTCTCTCAGATCACTATAGACAGATGCCAGATGCGTGTAAATTGCAGCCTCAGAAAGATTGGATTCATAACAAGCACTACAGCAGAGCTGAAACTGAACAGGCCCGGGCGTCTTTTCTCACCTCACCACAGTCTAGGGATTGGCTCAGTAGTCTTTATGGTCACATTTAGGTATATGTTGTTTACATTATCTCATATTTGCCAATAAAGGCCTATTGTTAAAACTATTTTCCATTTCTTAGCTCCTCCGTACAGAGTCAAAGTCATTTTGTTTGACCAGATAAAGGCCTGCAGTGGTAAAGCTGACATTCGATGTTGCCAGGTTGGCTTTAATTACATTTAAAAAAGAAAACCTTTATTATATATTCATGCATATTTCAGACCCAAAATACAATTGCAGATCTCATATCTTGGGTCCTACGTTCAATTAAATGACAGACACACGTACCATTTCCGTCACTTGGATTTTCATCAGATTCCATTCTGTTTTACCATTAAACACATTCTGTATACAAATCTACTCTTTTTATAAGTGAATGTTTAACCAGGTTGCTATTCCTTTTCCTAGATGCCCTACTCCGGGATGTGACGGATCAGGTCACATCACAGGAAACTACGCCTCTCACAGAAGGTAACAACAAAAGAAAAAACATCCAAGTTACACCGAAACACACACATTCACACACATTAACACACATTAACACACACACAGTCAGTCAGAGAGGCCTAGTGACAGTTCATGGTCAGAGTATAGACAGGAACTACTTACTCCTCACACATTTCTACACCATTCTATTGTCAAAAGCTAATTTGGTTTCACCTAAATTATTTCCTACTCATAATGTTCTCTGGCTTTAATCAATCAATCAATCAATCAATCCATCTATCAGTTACTTGACCAGACCTTTTGCAGCCCTTGGTTATCAACTCCATACTTTCTGTTTTCAGTCTCTCTGGGTGCCCGCGTGCCAAGAAAAGTGGAATTAAAACTCCTACCAAGGACAACCAGGAGGACTCGGAGCTTTTAAAGTTCGTACCGCCCAGAAAGCCCGTAATGTCTGCTTTTAGTGAGACTGATGGTAAAAGTAAAATGCAATAAATACAAAAGAAGAAAGAGCAAGAAAGAGAAGAGAAAGTCAATGTGAATCATTCAGGCTCTTACTGGTGGGAATACACTTACCGGCCGCAGATACTGGTTCTGCATGTACTCATTGGTGCACCAATGTAGAGAACATGATCAATACATGAGAAATACATAGGATTCATATTGCATCAGCACACAAAACAGTAAATCTAAGTGTGATAATGATAGCATGTGTTAAATTAAAAAAACGTTTTAATGAAAAAAAGTTAATTGGATAAAAATTGTGTTTTAAATGTTGATCAAATATAATAAATTTGACTTGGTAGTAAAACAGTGTTTGTGTTTATTTCTCTGCACTTTTGATTTATTTAAAATGCATCACCTCTAACCAACATGCACTTTTTATTCCACTCTCTACTGCCTACCTTCAACACTTCCTGCTGCCCTGCTTCCCCCTCTTCCTGTTTCCCTTCTGTCCTCCGCTCCCAGCAGATGCCCAGTTCCGGGCTGTGACAGTCTGGGCCACATAAGCGGCAAGTATGCTACGCACCGCAGCGCCTACGGGTGTCCACTGGCCGCCCGCAGACAGAAAGAAGGCCTACTGAACGGTACGCCCTTCAACTGGAAGGCCTTTAAGACAGAGGGGCCCACCTGCCCCACCCCAGGCTGCGATGGCTCTGGACACGCCAACGGAAGTTTCCTCACACACCGCAGGTGAGGTGGTTTTCTATGTTCCTGTAAATCAAAAACTGTCACTTGAACAAATATATAGAGACAGAACATTAACAAAACATCATATCTCTGTGTCTTCAGCCTCTCAGGATGCCCCAGAGCCTTGTTTGCCAAAAAGAAGTTAAAGTTTCCCTCAGAGGACTACCTGAGCAACAAGTTCAGAGCTGGTGATGGTAAGATTTATATGAAGAAAAAAAAATCAAAATGAAATGAAATGAAAAGAGAGAAAAGGGATAAGTAGTAGACAGTGACTCTATGGGTTTAATTGTAGTTCTGGACAACGATGATGACATCAAGCAACTCAACAAAGAGATCAACGACCTCAACGAATCCAACAATGAAATGGAGGCTGATATGGTCAACCTGCAAACTCAGGTATGTGTTTGGACTTCTTTAAACGCTAAGACAATAAAACATCACTTTTTTTTTTTTAAATAACCCTGCCTTGTCCATTCCATTGACTTCATGGTCTCTGGTTTTGCCTGTAGCATATGGATGGTAATGCTATTGCTAACAAACATTGGGGTGTTTTATTTTCAAATATTATTTGTGACCATAATGTTAAAGCAAAAAAAAATTTCAAGGCAGCATCACAGGAACAGGCTAACAATAAATGAGGAACAAGCTAACTCCAACTAAAGCTTAAAGTTAAGTTAATAGTTGTTGACCAGTGTTCAAACTTCTTATGTCCAGCAGATCTCATCCATGGAAAAGAACCTGAAGAACATTGAGCACGAGAACAAGATGATCGAGGAACAGAACGAGGCTCTCTTCATGGAGCTGTCCGGTCTCAGCCGTGCCCTCATCCGCAGCCTGGCCAACATTCGTCTGCCACACATGGTCAGTTAGTCTCCTGGAGATGCACGCACTCGTACACTCCACACACACACACACACACATTTCATTGTGAGTGATTGAATGCAGTGAGGTGAATCGTGTAGCAGTGTGTTTCTATGCTCTTGTCAGCTGAGATAAGTTGTTGTTTGCACCACAGCAGGAGCCAATCACCGAGCAGAACTTTGACAGCTACGTGAGCACCCTGACCGACATGTACACCAACAAGGACTGCTTCCAGAGCCCAGAGAACAAGGCTCTGTTGGAGAGCATCAACAAAGCTGTGAAGGGCATCAAGGTCTGAGGCTGAACATGTACACACACTTGAAGAAAAGAACTTGACCGGAAGGCAAGAGTGTGATGAGGAGACAAGAAACTTTGACTACAATACAATGAAGTTGAAAAACAAAAAAGGGAATTCAGGTTTATCTTAATAAATGGCAACTTAAATATGAAAAAAAAAAATTACCCAGGGAGCACTCTGTTTGAAGAAAAATGACGCGGACCAAAATCCACACCATACTGCTGCTGGGGTTTGAGGAGGACAAAACTGAACCTTCAGTCAGGATGGATGGAGAAGAAGAATGATGTTACAACTAAAACTGTATCCTGGAAAGGGTCGAATACGCTGTATGTTTACCTGTGGTCTCTTTTGTGTCCTTACCTGCTTTTGGAAACGGGAACTGTCGCACGCCTCATCCTTTTTCCCCGCACTTCAACCCAAACACAGCGGAGCACAAACGCTCTAAAGTCTGCAGCTCCACAAGAAGAAACCACCACAGCAATATAACGAACATTCAGTTCTGGAGTTTCTGTG